GTGCATACTATAATAATATAAAGTATTACGTGGATTTGATTTAAGAAAAGATAAATGAAAAATATAGATGTGTAAATGACGGTGTAATACTCTTCTTAGAGGTTAGCGAAATCATCTAAATAAAATGGAAGAAACGACAAAACTGAAAATTTTTAAGCACTTAATTCTATTTGTTTATTCTGTCGGAACAACTATGAAAGTTAATGTGGAGTAAAAATTTAAATACCAAACTTTTCACAACTGGTCGATACATTATAAAAACTCATCGACAGCCACACATCCGTGATGGAGACGCTATCAATACACGAACCTGCGCTTTTAACTAAACGGCTTCTATAGATAGTAAATCATGGTGTGGCCTCTATCTCATATGATGTTCTGATAAGTATTCACTAGATATTATCAGGTAACAATATGTGAGGGAAATGTTAAGGTAACTCATAAGCCTGAATGTCCGACGCTGCTGTTATTAAATTCTAAGAAAGATAAGCACTGCCGGCTACATAACAGTAGATAAAACATTGCAATCTTCAATGGTAATTAGTTATGGAAATTAATAAAACACAGAAGTAACAGCCGACCGATGTAGACAATAAAAACTGTTTTAGTTTTAGGGATTTTAGGCGTATGATTTTTGTATGTTAACTATGTGATAACATATAATTTTTAAATTTATAAAATGAAACAAAAAATCGTCGTACATCAACGATTTTTTTATTCCTTTTATAAATTTACGGTCGGTACACGAACAACGAACCGATGAAGCACGTCTGTCTCTTACTATCACGTGTGAGGAGTTAACACATCATGTTTATTAACTGTCTTTCCACCTTTTATTTACACTCATTCATACAACTATAATAAATTCATAGATTAACTGCTTTGACGTTAAAGTTAATCTTTAAAACTACTTATACAAATAAAAATAAATATTGAATCAAGATAAAGCATATTGCAAGCACGGCTCTAAGACGATATCCAAGTATTATTACTTAATAGGCGATATTCGATAAGATAAACATATTCGTAATAGGATATTTGCATTTAAATAACAACAAAATACCGTTTATTTTAGCTATAAAACCATGCTTAGCTACATACGTTATGTCTTACATACAAAATAAAAGATTATAATAAAAAATATAAATCGGCTTATCTATATAAAACTTGCTTATTCGTGTAAAGTACGGATAGCAAAAATCACTACAGAGATTTAATCATTTTTAATCGGTAGTAAATTAATTTAAAAAAAAACAAATTTCAATATGCATCTGTTTGAACAATTAATATTCAATAAGCTAACTAGCTTAGAATAGAATCATGCAGTTGCATGATTCTATAAACTTTGTTGTATCGGGTTATTGTTTTTACGCCGCAAAATCTTTCATTTCAATTGAAGTAATATTGCATTATATTTACTTGGATTAAGTATTAAGCGATTAAACAGTCCACTAGTAAATTTAATTACAAATTCTTATTGATCTAAACTAAATTATGATCTTAAAAAGTATTAATTACCAAAATACATGTTAGATTTTAGTTCCCAAAATCTGTATATTAACTGTCGAGATAATTTTTGTTTTTTGGTAACATTAGGAAGTGAATTTTGGATATTTTCAAATTTGGGTAATATTAATAAACCATAAAAATTACCTTATTCAATCGGGATTTTACAGCGGGTATACATATTTTATTTAGGCGATCTATAAAATAGATTGGTAATTAATAAGGCAACAATAATAAATATGACCTATGTTTTTATCTTAAACCAAATTACTACTACTCTATTAATACTATCTGCATCTTTTTTATTATATCTCTTCAGGGTCAGTTGAAACAAAAAACACAGATAAAGGCCTACAGTAGTCGCAAATGATGTATAACATGTAACATCTAACAAACAGTAACCCGCGCGCTCTGTGCTCAAACCAAATGACGCGTGCCCTCGGCTTTGTGTTACACACTTCCATCTCTTTTGCAGAAATCACTTACACAGATTGCAGGAAATGTTACATATCAAAAAGATAAACTTATAATAAACTAGATCTAATTGCCTGACGGTACACAGGTACGATTTGACAAAAAGATATATCTTCGACGTCGGGCATAATCCGTCGGCCATTGTGCAATCGTTAATCGGCGCGGATCGGCGCGCGGGCCGATTCGAAATTAATAATGATTTATAACGGCCGATTAGAGGCATAGGCATTAACTCACCGTACGATTGGCTTGATGCTGTGGCTGCGTATCGAGTAACGTTACTTACAAACTTGTAAGACTTGCCAAGTTTTTCTTTTAGAAATAGAACGTTTAGAAATAAAAATATATACAAATTCTATTTTTTAAATATTGATACAAAACTTTTTACCCTCTATACCTTACTTACAGACTTATAGACAAGTAGTAATAGTTATGAAAACCGATATAAAATTCGAGTCTTTTAGCATTACTTTAATTGTGATACTCTAAGTAAGTATGTGTGAAACAATGTTTTTTTTGTTTTAAAAAAATATATATGTTATTTTTAAATTTGGATAGCATTATATATTTCTAAAATTGTATACGCTATTGTTCAATAGAACTGTAATTTTTAAATTAAATATGAAACATACTATACAAGACATAAGTACCTATAGAAAGGTCCTCTGTGAATCTTGCGTATGCGCTTGAGCTTACGCTTTGAACGTTTTACAGACAGGATGTTCCGGATTAGATTTAAGGGGTAAAAGAACAAGAAAGAGACGGCACAAAAGAATTTGTATTAGAAAGACAAGGACAGACGTCGAGAGATTTAAAGATTATGATTACTAAAAGAGAATGAATCAGAAATTATTGCATGGGGCATAAACATAGGGTATTAGTCCAGTGTAAGGGAAGTTGACAGCCGTGTCGGTTTGTATCGAGAGCATTTTGCAGGGAAACTGGTCGTGAAATTAGTTGTAGTATTGGGGTTCATACTTACTAATATATCTACAAAGGCTAGTGGGATTTATTTCTTAAATTTTGATTTGTAGTATTGCAGAGATTCTTATCAGATTCTAGTTTATAAACGGTGTCATTTAAGTTAATCGAACCGTTTAAAAACTAAAATGTTCGAAGCGCTTTATTTAAAAAATAATAAATGGCAAAGTTCTTTACAAAAAAAATCGGCGATGTCGAAACTTATCTTAAAAAACAAAAGTTAACTTAATTCGACGATGTTATTCTTATTTCCACGTTCCTTTTTAATTCATGCATCATGTAGATGATTCATTTTACTAAATACATCAATAAGTAATATGACATTAATTAAGTCATAGAACACCAAAAAATAGTCGATTAAATACGAATAATATTTATCGTACTTTATTAGCAACTTTTATCATATCTTTTACCAATTATTTTGTTTCGATTATTACTTGCGTCACGAACTTATGAGTCAATAAATTAAATATTTACCAAATGATAAAAGGAAGAAATTGTCAGTATAGTTTATTATTATTATACAATACTAACACTATGAGTTTTGTTACTCGATTGGCAATGAATAAATTAATTATACGTACAAAATATATTACAGTAAATTCAATAGATAAAAATACATATTGCTTGCGATAGCCAAAACAAAACGGCCATATTATGATAGCTGTTTTAGTATGGAGATCCCACTGCAGTCCACTTAGTAAACATTTATTTATATGTGGTTACTCATCAATAATCAACTTTTTTAAACTTCAAAAACTTTTTCATTAATCTCGAATTTATTAATAGAAAAAGTCTTAAAGGTAACTTCTCTGCAAATCAGAAGTGTGTAAAACTAATACTTATTTATGCTGTAAAGTTCACGTATTAGGTTGAAGAGCTTAAGTTTTAGATAAAATGTATACGATTTGTTTCCGAATAGTACAGAACTAGAAATAACCTTCAGATTCATAATTAAACATCCCGTTAGGTGTTCTAGTACAAGTTCAGCTAACACATAAAATCAAAACGCAACTTTACATTTCAAAGACATTTTCTACAGCTTTCACCAGCGCGCAGCGTTTATATTGAAAATAGAATTATAAGTACAGAGAACGTTTGATTTAACGACTAAAAGATATCAGTGAATCAATTATGGCATCAGTGATCAGATTAACTAGGAACGTCGAGATGAGCTGAACACAAAGGGGCCGAATGAAGCGCGTGACTACGAATAATGTTACCCCTACTTGTTTTAAAAAGCCATTCCGTCGGGGCTTTCTTTATGTATTTAAAAATGAATAAGAATTAGACTACTGTCTTCATATTTAAAAAAATCTTTATTTTATATTCATGTTTATACTTTTAAGAATAAATAAATTAGTTTATGTATTGCTCTTAACAGATATGAGTAATCGCCTGTAGTAGAATTACGACCATAACACACTAGGATAAAAAAAACTGTTTTGTCTTACATCAAATTATAAACTTGAATTGTCATTTTGTATGTCATACATAATTATAAGTTTGCTGAATTCATATAGCTGTTTGTACCTGTTTTCTCATAATTTTGAAACTTATAAGATATATTAATTAAAAATTTGACCTGAGAGCTAAAATTTTTAATTAATGTTACTTAAGTAGCTCTTGTACGTACATACTTTAAGTATTTTAAATTTCATATCACATCACATCAACAGCCTTTAATAGTCCACTGCTGGACGTAGGCCCCTCCTTAGAAAGGAGGTTTCAAATATTAAAAAAAAAAATTAAAAAAAACTAGCATAAAGTGCTGAAATACGAATAAAGAAATCTCTTCAAGTAGCAACATACACCAGATAATCACTGACACTAGAGCCATCACTAACACTCTCCTTGTGTGACAATAGGAAATATGGCACACAAGGAGACTTATAAAAACAACGAATTATAACATTTGAAACACAAAACTTTTTTTAAAATTAACCTGATGTGAGGCCAGTGTTACACTCAAGCTACTTTCCATATAATAAAGTAAATAGTAACTCATTAATATTCAGGTTAATGTTACTACTCCTCTTTCAAAATACGTCATAACACATAATGGTGTACTCACCAACAATACCTTTATTCAATAAGTTATTGAAGGCCTCTTTTTTAGGCGAAAGATGAGGAGTATGTGGGTTCCTGTCGTGGTGTACAGGAGCCGATGGCGGACGAGGGACCGCGCGCTCCTCGGGCGAGCGCCGCGGCGGTGTCTTACTGCGTCGAAGTTCCGAGGATAAGTTCTGCAATAAGAACAGATAGATAAGAACATATTTTTAATAATACTGTAATTGTTCTATGATGAAGATAAAGTTTAATGCATAAAATTGTAGTAAAACAGCCATAAAAGTGCCTCAACGAATAATTGTGTTTGAATATGTTGTATTTTTAAGAGTTGAAAATACCATGATGAAAAGCATATACCCATACAAAGTCCACCTGGCTTAAAAGTATGTTTTATTTGAATACCGGTTAAAAATTATTTAAAATTCACATGTATAAATGTTTATTATTATCAATTAGGATTCTAGTCTGGCATCCTATTATTGCCAGGAGTGTATTGGATGGAGTGTTGATTTCACCAGTGACGTACTAGAACTGGTAAATTAACTCCGATCCCAATTCAAGTAATGCAAACCTGAATCATTTAAACCAATCTATATACATGCTTAAGATTTTATACCATTGGGCAATCTTTAACTTTGATCCTTATCTACGCCATGCAGTCTTCACTCTAGATATTAAATATTATTTTAAGAACCATAAATAAAATAAAATTAATAATAACTCACAAACATTCTGCATATCTCGACACACACTCTTGGATTAGTACTAAACGATAAAAAATAAATCAAAACCATTTCAAAGTAATCTTATTTAATCTAGACTAATCAACATTTTTTGATAGCCTATCTAATTCTATCGGAGATAAGAGTATTGAGGTGTGAAACAATTCAAGCTATCGAAGGATTAAATAATTAGTAAATCGATAATCACAGGCTGAACTTTAATTCTTTGATTATCCTCTAGAATCACTAGCGTAATCTATAAAAGCCGTTTATGTAATCGAGTGTTTTCTTCTGTAAAACATACTGCATGTATAACTTGTATGTAAAACTGATTTTTTTAGTAATTATGTACGTTTCGGATTAATTTATTAAACATGTGATCTTGCACTGTGCGGGGTATTCTTATGACATTGTGATTCGTGGCAATGATTGACGTTGTCGATAGTGATTCCGTACGACTACGACGAATCGTAGCATCTGATAACAAAAGCCGTTGCTACTTATTAATAATTATAATTTTGCTTCTAATTGACCAATTTTTCTGCTGCGGTAGGCGATCGGATGGCGGCCTGGTCGCAAAAATGCGATCGGGCCGCAACATATTATAAGAATTGGGTCGATGGGGATAGGGCTTTACTAAGTGCGACGTTGATCTGGGGGGATCTGAAATAAGATGGTCCGGGTCCTCCTCGGAGTCGCCTGAGTACGGCCGTCGGGGCGGCTTTTAGTGGAAACACCGCATACTCCTGGCTTCTACAACCCCAAGGAGCCGGATTTCCGAAAGGATATTCCACCCAGTCAACAAAAAAAAAGGCTATTATGAAATTACAATATTTTTTCTATCTGAGAAGTAATTGGATTGATCGCTATGGAGAATAAAAATTTACACTTACTTACAGTTATTTTCAAATTCATTTTGTCACTAGTTTTTCTTAGCATTTTTTTCTGTATCAAAGGTACCCTATATCTAGACCTTTGCTGGCAACGTTTAAGAAAATTTCGTGATGGAGGTACATCAGCCCATATAATACGAACAAACATGGTTTTTCATATATATATATATATATATATATATTATATATATAAGGTGGACCTATCTACATATATTTATAAAAATTCAAAGTTCGTTTCTTCATAACCGCATACGTCTTACAGTTATTTATACATTTTTAAATTTTTACACAACGTTGATTATGTACATTTTTTTTATATAAACTAAGTCATATTTATATATCAGTTAATAAGTTACATAGTTTGTGTAATGTAATTGCACTCAAAGTTACGCTGTTGACTCGATCGAGTGTGCGCGGTTTACCCAACCTACGCGTATAGATTACACAAAAGAGAGAATTTTCATATGCCCTGGGAACTTGGGAAGCTCCTTTGTACCCTAAGGGTTATAATACTCGTCAACTACTCTTTAATAACAGAAAACACAACTTTAATAGCCTACAGCTTGTATAGTTCTTGCCTCGATAAAGTAACGCTTAGCAGTGGGTCTTTCGGTTTTAAGACAAACTCGCATTTGATAATCTGACGGTGTATTAAAAAGTAATACATTTTTGTAATTATGAAAAGTAACGTACACTTTCTATTAATAAAAACTGAGTCAGTATGTTATAATACAAACCTATAAAATTTATAACAGGGATTTAGACGGATGTATCAACTTCCTAATGCAACTAATTATTATATGATATCCAGCTACATAATATAAATATCAATATTTCATTTGCGTACATACAATTAATTTAACGGCTTGGATGATTTCAATACAAAATACATGAGCTTATCCACACATTTATGGCGTCTTGTCTAGACGAGAACCCATACCTTCCAATAAGGTCGAATAATAATGAATAATTCTACAATTTGTGCTGGTACACTTGCATGCATTGGTACAAAATGGTTGCGTATGCGCAAGGTGTCCCACCGAGTCAGACGTGCGATTCATTTGAAACGAACTCGACAAAATGAAGGGAACCGTTGCCTTACATTACATTGTTTTATTATATAACTGTACTTTTTTCATGTATTCTTAAGTTGGAACCAAACCTGTAATCACTTTAGCCCATAGTACCATTCACGAAAATGGCTGCCCCTAATAGCTTTATTACATTTTCGTGATTAAAAGTAGAATGCACTGCATCTAAGTACTAGCCTTTTTTACCTAATTATATGAGGGTAGAGAAACAGATAAATTTATTTTCACGTATGTGACACTATCTTGCACATTGTATCTTATCCGTGTTGTTTATTAAAAAGCACGTAAGTATATTAAAAGTTGTACGTTGTAATGAAAACGAGAAAACTAATGCAGTTTCATAAAACTCACCAAGTAAAATAATCTCCTAACAAATTTCTGAATTATAATGTTTTCTTTTCATAGGTTTTCAGGTGTCTGCATTACACATCGAGAGAATTCTTTGTTTCAAGTCTTTTAGTGTATTTCGCTTACAGAGGAATGTGAGATTAAATTACTTAAATTTCGTATTTCGAAGAAGCGCAGAAAGTTAAGATTTACCTAAAAACAAATAGCTATACCCTGACACTTTATACATCGTGTCTGAATTTAAGCTCGTTTTCGTATTTCGTTGCAGAACTTTTTGAGTTTTTGAAGCGTACACAAACCAACATTACATTTAAATATATATATATATATAGAAGGATAGAAGATGAGTGATGGCTAAAAAAGTCTAATGTGTCAAGTTTATACGGTGACCTGTCAGGAACCGATGACCGGTCTATACAATGACATTTTCAGTAAAGTTATACTGGTCATCAATAAAACAAAACATGCACCAACGACCAAAAATCGATTCTTAGATTAAATTATGTATAAAATGTAACTAATTTATTAAATTACACACATACATATATGGGCCAAGCTATTTAAAATCATCTGTTTGTTTCTTTTGACAATTCAAGAAGTAGACAATTAGATAGCCAATTCATCACTAAATCTCACTTCGAAAAATTATATTACTCACTCACATTTATTTTACTTACTTGTATATTAACCTCAGGTATGTTTTTTTTTAATTTGTAATATCTTTTCTTCTTTATAATAAATATTTATTGTATAAAATTTTGTCTATGCGTCATCTTTTTGTCTATTTTTATACATCGTCAATGAGAAAAGATAAAAATTGAGTTCCGAATTGCTATTTCAGATTCGACAATTTCTAACTATATAATATTATTATCACACAAACATGCCAGAAGATCGACACGTCATAAGTGAGTAAAATAACAATCCTATTACCTAAAACCGTAAGAACAACAAGGAATGATAATTTCAACGTCATACGTTTCAACGGACATCGGATTACATATTTGGTCATACTTGTCTCTTTAGCACCAACTCGAAATAGACACCGTAGTAGTATTTTTACTTTAGTTCTAATTACACGAGTCACGAACATAAGGTAACAATTTGTTTTACTACCAACGGGTTGGCATCAATGAATTCTTACATGTATTCTGATTATTATATTATTATTATAGTCGTAAGACGGCGCGGCATCATCTTGAGTTCGTCCCAGGTAGCTCATATCTGCCTTTCCTTTTTTAAAATCATAGTAACTATATAATTATCGATCATCAACAGCCTATAATAGTCCACTGCTGGACATAGGCCTCTCCTTAGAAAGGAGGTTTTGGCCTACTATACCACGCTGGCCAGACGGGTTGGTATAGGGTTTGTTTCAAGTTTTCCTTCTTTTTGCAGTGCTGTTGTCCTATGCAGTTTGTTCCCTTAGTCAGCTCTTACGACACCCACGGGATGAATAGGGGTGGTGACATTCCGTATTCTTAATCCGTCACCACACACTTATCGATACGTACGGGAAATAACGTGATTAAGTAGCGAAGACTGCACTTGCAGTAGTTACAGACTGACTGGTTCAACGGTTCGGTTTTTCATGTACCCGCACATTTTCGACATGTTTTATAGCTTTATTTCGCCACGTACCGTCACATACAATACTGACAGAATAGAGACAATTCTATATATGTAAACCGACGTGGCCCTATCCTGATCTGTTTGTTCCGAAGGCAAGGTGGTACGTACGTACCTGAATTTTATATGTAATAACTATTACGTGATTTTGTGCATTTCTATACATATACATAATTATTAGATATATGTTGTGGACCGCGAAACTTTTAAAATTTAATAATTATGACAACTCTTTTAATTTTCTTTAATGTACATATTGTACATGTATGCATGATTCAAAAACCGATTTATCATAACATCCATTAGATAAATGTCAGTAAAATATATTTTTCTGGAACCTATGCTTCGTGCAGCCCTGGGAACCTGAATTCACATGGCCCGGGTCCTCCTCAGATAGGGCATCTGAGGCCGGCCGTCAGGGTGGTTTTTAATGGAAATACCACATAGGTACCCATCATCACATAGGGATTTCCCACCCCGTCACCAGAGAAAA